GTCATCTTTTGCATTGGAGCGCTAATCCAAAGGCCCGGGGTTCGAGTCCCCGTACAGCCCAAATCTTTAACGAGCTTGCAAAAGATGACGGATGTCATCACTGTCAACCGTGGAAGTCGTATGGCTGCCCATCTACGCTGGAGTACGAAAAACATCATCTCATACACATGCCTACATAAACAAAGTCTCTTATCTTCAGCTGATACATGCAGGTATTCTCTAAAGGAAAACTCCCGTTAGAAACATGCTTAAAGGATTGAGCCAGTCTACAACTATGGGTTGTATAGACAGACTCTGGGTACAGCCAGAGTTGTGGACCATGTGCCTCATGGTTTACTGAGGGAAATAGTGAATACAATAGGCCCTTGCAGCCTTTTGCCAGTATCACTTGTAGACTGCAGTCTTCTTGTATGGCAATTGGTAGCCACTAGCTATCAAAATCCAGCAGAGGTGGTCTATCAATTGGTCAATTTCTTTAAAGAGGATTATCAAATTTTTAATGAAGTTTAACAATGCCTAGCTTTATGATGAAACCAGAAACTTCCAAGAAAATCTTCCAGAAATGTCCTGCTGTTAAGTTTGTGGCATACTCTGTTGGAGTTGTGGTGTTCCAGACCCTCCAAAGGCCCAGAATGTCAAAGCTTTCTCAGCCCTGACACTCAACAGTCAACAGACTAGTGTCAAGTGTGTGTCTCATACTAGCATAACTGTCAGATTACACTGCTTCAGCTGCTTTTATATTGTTAACTGTATTAGGTATATCATGGATGGTATATTTATTGTCCAATTCAACATCAAATCCAATACTACTCTACTACAGCCTACACTACAATATGCATATTGGTATTTTACCAGAGGACCCATCTATTGTTCAGCATGATTGCAAACACAACAAAGTGTTTTAGAAATGTCTACTTTGTCAGGTTTTGTATGTATGTATGTATGTATGTATGTATTTATTTGAACGCCCACAGGTATGACACCCATTTACAGACGCAGTCCGATACTAAAACCTATAAATACATGTGCTCATGGGTTGTCAAATATAGGTACGTATAGTCATGTCAGAGAGATTAAGAAGGCTCTAAGAGACTTCATAAAAGTTCCTCGACTGGCGAATAGGTCCGCAGATGCCACATGTTCGTACATGCCGTTCACTTGTCTCGGTAAGCGACAAAACATTCCGGCCCTTATCGTTTCCACCCTTGCGGTGGGTTCGTGCAGTATCGCCCGTCCTCGAGTCCGCCTACATGGAACACACAATCCAAACATCCCAACAATATCGGTGGACCTAATGCGACCAGAGAACACCGAATGAAGAAAAGTGAGATCGCGCTGCACCAACCTTGCCCGAATACAACTCACACCAAAATGAGACAGAAGCTGATGGTCAAGGCCCTAAATACAAGGTTGCACGGACTAATTTCTACTAAACCTACCAGAATATAGTTTCACGGTTGAATATTTAAATAATTAATCAATCAAAACTTCTTCATTATTATCTCGTAATCATTTAAAAGCAATTTAATAAATATACTTTTAATTTTCTTGCCATTTACGGGCAAAATAACTTTCTAGTATTGGGTCAACATAGTGGTGTAGCAGTAGGAACCATATCTGGCAAAACCCCAATACCTACATACAGCAGAAAAGCAGCCACCAGGTGTCTCCACAGTCGCCCCACAGATGTCGCGCGCGTCGCTTATCGCCACACTACCGATTTCCATAAGGACGAATATGTACGGATATGTAAGGGAAAGTCGCCCTTAAGGATTACGCTTACATCCTTTGCCTAAAAGGTCGATGTTTGGAAATTGGGAGGGGCTCGGCTATTTTCGACCACGGATATGGCTTTATCACATGATGAGGAACATGCTGATAAGCGTTTAATGTGTCATAACAGCACCCAAGTATTTTTAATCATTTTTCAAAAATAGCCGTTCTGCCGTATCTTTCAGTGCAAGGTGCCGTCGGTCATCCCCGACGTTACGTCACGCCGGGGATTGCCAGATTTTCCTACTAGACTTCGACGCCCCCTGCTGATGGTGATCGAGAGACTGAGAGGGCCGTGTGGAATGAGTTGCCAGCCAGATGAGCATCTTATGCTGGATCCGTTCCAGACGCTGTATATGTGTTTTTGAGGCCCCAGCCCATACTATGCTACCGAATTCTATCACAGAGCGAACGTGGGCATTAAAAGCAGTGATAAGAGGCTCAGGTCGAAACCGTCTCCCCCTCGCAGCACGAGAGGTCTGCAGCGAGCGCAAGTACACGCCAAGCGCCCGGTTCGCACTCCTGACGACGCCGTCGACGTGAGGCCCAAAAGTTAATTTTGAGTCCATGAGCACACCCAGATCGCGCATCACAGATACACGATCTAAGGTGATCCCATGGATGGAGTAGTCGAAATGGACTGGTTTAGTGCGGAGAGTGAATGTAATCTGTTTACATTTTATGGGATTCAATTGCAGCTTCCAAGTAGTTGACCATGTACAGAATTTATGTATATCGTTTTGAAGGGCGACAGCGTCATCAAGCGTGCGAACCGGGCGGAGCGGTTTCATGTCATCAGCATACATGAGGCACGACGAGTTCAGGTAAGATGGTAAATCGTTGCAGAATAAAATAAACAAGATCGGCCCACATATGCTGCCTTCCGGCAGCATATGTGGGCCGAATAATTTTGTGTGTAATAATTTTGTGTGTAATGTATAATTTTGTGATAACTGTATGCTTAGATTAATTTTATAGTATGTTGAGTGTCTGTCAACAGTCCAGGTTTCAGCTCAATTGGCCCAGTAATGGCTGAGCTACTGCAATAATATTTTTTTACATGTTTATTTCAAATATATATAAAATTCCATTGGTGAGCAGCGCTTTGCAGCATAGTCTGGGATGATTATTGCCAAAAGTTCAATGACCTCAGGTCAGTTTTACCAACAGAAAAATAGCTGCCTGCCAGAATTTTTTGCTTAAGACCGCTTCACATACAGAGCGTAAACTGTAAAGCCCTATCCGCTTTCGTGCCCATCGCGTTCTCGCTCTGTACCTATGTGAATTAGCAGTCTTTAGCAAAAAATCCGGCAAGCGGCTATTTTACTGTTGATAAAACTGGTCTCTGCTCTGATTTTCATTAAATTTTGGCTGCAAACAATTGCACCTAATCTAGCATGTGCTTCCTGCAGTATCAGTGAAGCTAGCATCACTGCCGGTGCTAACGGGTAAATGGGCAGATATTGATATAGTCCAAGCAAAAAACAATATAGCATGGCTTAGCATGGCTTGCTAGACCAAACCTACAACTTACCAACCTACCTGTGTACCTACCTTCTACCGTGACACCAGCTTTACCAATACCCACTCTGCTTGGTGCCAGCCGCAGCCCAAAATGCAGCACTGATGCACCCATCACAATCATGTGTATATACCTACGACACTGAACCCACCCCCTTAAAAAGAAAACATGAGGGCTGTTCACGGGCCCTGTGTGCGGTCGGACCGCACACAGCCTCGAAGCTCCGCCCACTTCGTCCCTACGTCAGCCTTCCGTCACCGCACACAGCGATCGCTGTGGCCGGTCGGGACTGGCCACAGCGGACCGTCCACCGCACGCAGCCGTGACGTCAGAACCGCCTACCCATCCCCTACCCCCACGCCTGCTGGACGCACCGCACACACCGCACGCAGCAGTGTGCGGTGCCCGTGAACACCCCTATGGCAAAGCAGTGCAGGTGTCTGACTTGGTGCATCATCACCAACAATTCCATAGTGGTTCAGTGTTGTTAGACATATTTATGAAATCTGGCCAAGAATTGCAAATCAAAATCAAATTGAAATGTTCATTGAAATCTAACCCTATTATTTTGCTTAAAATGCATTAAATCTAGAGCACAACTTTCATTTCATTTTTTGTTTTGCAGTTCCTAGCTGCCATCTAATAAATTCCAAAAGTAGCTTGAAATCATGTAAAAAAAATTAGGTAATAACCAATCTAGCAACCAACTCGAGATGTGTGTGTGGAGATTATACACAGAGTGATCCCAGAAGTCTCAAACAGTAAAATTGTAATTAGCTCAATTTGTTTCAACTCATATCAATGACGTCACAAAAATTGAGAAAATTTCAGAAGAGGATTCCGAATCGCTTGGTAAATTCAAGCTGTTTACCGTCTCAAATAATTGTTTGCATAATTAAGACACGAAGTTTTTTGTTTTGATGTATTTCACTAAACATTTTAATATTTCAAAGTTATCTATCTTTAGTAGTTTCAAATTTTTAAGACGTCATAGTTTCCTACAATATTAAAATAAATAGTAAAAATAGCTGACTTCTGTCGTAAAAGCGTTGTGGATGTCTCAAACCCTGAAGAGACAGGGCCACTATTTTTTTATAAGACTGTAAATGCAAACTACGTGGGACTTGGAAGTTCGAGCCTCCAATTTATGAATGAACGATGAAAAATGGAGCTACCGTACTGGAAAAATACTAATAAAGCGAAACCTTTTAAATAGGTTTCAATTTATATGATCTGCTCGCGAGCAATGCTTGTTAATTTGGGTGCTGAAGCTTAGCGACTCATCAAATTCCGACACAGTCTGTCCCACTCACGACTTCAACTGGCAGTCGCCGCTCCCATCATATTTCAACTGCAGGCAGCCTCAGCATTTTCATATATTACGCCGTGAGCACAGGCGCGAGTCACCATTTGAACATTTGGATTTGCTTTCGCCACCGGGCATTTCCGTCTGTAGGTAGGTAGGTAGTTGCTCACCATAAAGCGTTCTGGTACGAGTAACGAAGTTGATGACCATGACGAGCGCTAGATCTTGGGTTCCATTTGGGCACCTGCACCAAGACCTGGACAGTGGACTTGGTTACCTACAAACTTGCCGATGCGCTGTTAGGAACACCTAGTGATCGCTCCTTGACAAGCTTCAGTATACACTTTGCCGGTAGATGGCAGCCTAAGACTAATCGCCCCGGTAGCCGAGTGTGGGACGGGCAGGTAATCCCGAGCCCCAGGGACGACCGAGCGCGGACGGAGGAATCCGAAGTGGCCAGTCGGCGCCGGGCAGAAGTGGTGCTCGCTCATTATCTGTGGATAAAACTGTGCCTATCTGCGAGCGCTATCATCGCGCGCCGTGACAGCGGTGGTCCACTCCGAGGGTGTGCGATACGGTGCAGACGGCAGCCCTGGTGACTGGCGCCGCCGTCAGTCGGTCGCCGCACGGCCAGGTGCGCTGCCGGTGTTGTGGTCCGCCGCCGCGCTGCAGTCTCCCAGCCGTCCGCGCCGCCAACGGCATGCGATCCGACTTCAACTAGAACTCAGACGACTCGATACCACGTAGATCGCAGGTGAGTCGCGCTGCTAGTTTGTAGAGCTTGTGGAGGACACAGGCCTGCGATCGTATCGTCATTTCGCGTCGGGCAGGGCCTGGCACGAAGGAGAAAGTCGGCGGTGGCGGGCGACGGGCCTCGCCCGGCTGCCACGGGCCATCGGCGCGCCGGGGGGCGGAGGGCAGACATCTTCCGTCGCCGCCGGCGGCGGTGCCGTGTCTGCTTGGGTCCAGCGACTGTGACAGGTGCCGGACTTGTGACCGGACCCGTCCAGGGGTCACCGAGGCCAGGCAGGGGCGCGGCCGGTGTCCAGGTGCGGCGGCCCGCGGCGGCCGCGGGGCCAGGTGAGGGGCGCTGCGGGCAGGCTGTCGGCGGCTACACTCTGCATGCCGCCCCGATGGCGATGGCGGGGGTCGCTGAACGCTCGTGCGGTACCGGGCCCTGTGCTGCGGTTGAGAACGGTGCCGGCTGGTCGGTCTCTCCGAGGTAGGCCACGCCGGAAGGGAAGTCTGGGCGGCCGCCGTGCGGTTTTCCCATTTCGTTCAGTATGTGGCAACCATACAGCCGCCGCCGACATTCTCTGGCATAAAGTCACGGGTATAATCGGGAAAAGTCACTGGAATTTAAAGCATTTTCTGCTGCCCAGCATATTTTCTGTTCGCCGGGCCGTATAGACGCTATTTGTAAACTGTTGTTATTAACAATGAAAGACAATTGACATGCAGACCAATGTATGCAATGCTATTCAACCAAACAAAAGCCGCTCGAAGAGAAGATCTGCCTTCCGGTCACTTTCGTTTCGCCGCCGCGGTGTGAGGCCCGCAGCGATCGGAGGGGAGGCCGAGTGACGTGGCGTATCTCCCGGGGTCATCATTACCGTGCCGAGCGAACGGGGTCGGCGGGGACTCGGCCAGGCGCCGGCGGTGGGCGGGGCGGTACCTACACACTCGCAGCCACGGCCCCGGCGGCTGGACGACGCCCCAGCCGGGGCACGTGCCGTTTGTTTGGGGCCGCACCCTGCAATTCAGCCGGCCGACGCAAGGCTGCGGCTGACCGGTGCTGGTCGAAGGACATCCAGCCCTGGGCGCCGTCTCTGTCCCAGCTGCCCAACGCTCACAGTCGGGCTGTGTGACAGGCTGCATGTGACCGAGATGAGATGCATTGCATACTGCATCTAAAAGCTTCCGCGTTGGATAGGTACTGCAGAGACCAGAGTTGCGGTGATAGAATTATAGAGAATGTTCTAAATGACGTGTGCACGGTGAGCATGGCGCATCCAATGACATTTATGGAGCTGGATCCCAGCTGCGGCGCAGTTTGAGGCCCATTGGCCGGTGCGGTGAGGTGAGAGGGGCCGTGTGCCGTTCCCCGGTGTATAGCCCCGGGCCCGATCACCACCCACCCACACCGCTCCGTGCAGGGGTGTCGGGCGCAGAGGGCCGCCCGTTAGTCAGGGGGGGGGGATATCGGTACCCATCGCTCCTGATGAGTGAGACGACCACTGTTTCCGCCCGTCCGTCCCTCCGTTAGATACCTACACCTCCATCACAGCCGGTCCGGTGGGCCGTGCACTCCGGTAACAGCGGCCACACACTGAAAACAATTTAACCCAAGGCTGGCGAGTAAACCGGTGTTTTACGGGTACCCCTATCCGCAACCATTTTTAACCACCCTCCCAGGAGTAGTGCTAGGTCCCATTGCGGTGTAGTCGTACTTGCTCTGAGCGGATATAACCGCTGTCAGCGAACAAATCCGCTGAGAGCAGGGACGACTACACGGCAATGGGACCTTACTGTACTCCTGGGAGGGTGGTTAAAAATGGTTGCGGATAGGGGTACCCGCAAAACACCAGTTTACTCGCGGGCCTTGCGTTAAATTGTTTTCAGTGCACAGACGGCGCGGTCTGACCACACGGCGGCTTCAACAATTTATGGTGCTATGCTTCGGCTTATCTTTGTCTTCTTTGGAGTAAAAATGGTGACCTCATCGACTTAAAAATCAAGATTTCCTGAAAGGATTGATTAATTATGACTGACTTCTGGTTGTCGCATTTCCAGGATATTGTTCGTATTATTGTCCTATGAGGAACGAATACTAAATTTATTGATATCACACCTACACGACTTCTTATTGGCGCCTGGCGGCAACACAACTCCGCTAAGCCCTTGGTGTTTATCTATCAGCCGACGCAGCGTCATGCTGTCAATTGCATTTGATTACGGTGACTGACCATTGACCAAACGTTAGATATAGCGAAAGCGTTTGTCGCCCTGGTTTCTCGGTATGCCGGATGCCCTGTGACCGTCTGACCTGACCCGTGACCTCAGCAGCCAGGAGGTTCAGTGGGAGGTGTCCAACTCGTGACACAAGGGTGCAACTCAGTGCTAGCAGAATGGAGCCTGGGCTTGGACAACTTCCACCTACGAGTACATGTCTTGCGTTGTATGCCTCGGAGTGGTGTTAAATACATGGGCTGTAATTTACGAATACTTATCGTAAGGCACCTATTATACCTAATAGAAAGCTAGTTAAATGCTGTCAATGGGCTGCATGGTTCACTGGACGACTTTCATTTCTTATTAGTACCTCCCGACATGGTGGGCTCTCGGCACACAATGTGTGAGTCATGTTGTCACTGTCGCTCCGTTGAGTCGTGTTCTCTGATGTCAGTTGTGGAGTCAGGGCACGCAGGCCGGTTTATCAGCTGTGGATTATTTACGTCACTTTGTTATCTGCCTCGAGTTGCAACTCTGCAGGTCTCAGTATCAGCGGGCCTCGGTGAGTAACTGGGATGCTTATCAGGCCACTAGCTGTCTTTTTGTCTATAGGTATAACGGTGCTGCTGAACGCTCGGAAAGTGGTAATTCATTGTGTTGCCAACCTATTTGTTTTTACATTTATGCTTCATACTTGTTCATATGAAATAAATCTAACCCATGTAGGCAAGCATTTTAATAATTTGCTTTCCATTTTTGTACCTTCGTGAAACTTTTCATAAGGTTTTGTTTATGTTATCTAAAATTTATTAGCGAATTTAAAAAGGGTTATTTCTTAGTTTTGTCAAGATTCGATGTTTCACGTTTATTTGTAGGTATAGGGTAGTGTGGGGTAATTTGAACATATTTTTACGTCTTCTCCGTGGTACCAAATTCCAGCTCAACCCTGGATGAAGAAAAACTGCTTCAGTAGCGCAAGTGTCACTTGCTTTCACCGTGCAAGCCTCATTTTTGGACGAGCCAAGCATACCTTAAATAGCATAGCCTCACTTCTCCACCAAGTCACGGTGTGTTCAAATTGTCCCACCGTGGGGTAATTTGAACATACTGCCTTTACCTGTCATAAAACGATAGTCTCGCCAGCACCGATGTTGTTTGACCCATAAACAAATAGGCAGAACAATTCTAAACATACCTTCACTTGAAAAATCAACACAACAACAAAAATAACAGTTGCAGAGTATCAATATCTGCACGCTGCACACCGGTCAGTTGACAGAATTCGCCTCTCTTCAATTAACAGAACGTCTATCATTTTTGCTCGATAAAAACTCTCCCAACCTTACTGCATCTGTTATAGTGGTGCCAATCGAAACCTGGACATTTGGAGTTCTGATTCTGTCCAATAACCAATCCGGAATTGGTTGGACAAAGGTAGCAGACTGGACAACATTGGACGATGGCTTGCTACACTTCAGCGCTTTTTATAAAGTAATCGTGCTCGTGCATAGCATTGATTGGCGAATGGAAAGCTTGTTAAGCTCTCAATATACCTAATGAACACTTTTCGGCTGGTAAAATTACATTATGAGCAATTTAAACTCAGTTTTGAGTGTTGATAATTCGTAATTTTCGGACATATTTGGACAAATGGCTGACTTTAACATTTTTGAACGGAAGCCAACGAAAATGCCGTACATTAGACGGATATTAAACGTAAATTTTATAAAACTGGCATCACTAATCTGCTACTGCTTTGGGTCGAAAATATTGGCAAAAAAAAAACGGGGAGCGTTGTTTTTTCGGAGCTATCCCTGTCTTCACTGAAATTCTCACACTATGTTCAAATTACCCCACGCTAAAAGTTATTTTGCCATATTCAAAAACAGGTTTCGAAAGCAAATTTCTTGGATTGAAGGCACTGACTAGGTCATTGTACAACAAAAGCCGTTGCGTATTAGCCGCTAGCAATGCAAGATTGTGCGCTGCAATGAAGTTGCAATGACGTGTTTTTAGGCGTTTTTACTTGCGAAATTGATTTTTTACAGTGTGCGTCAACATCTTCATTCCCTGAAACTGTTAACCCCGTTCATATGATAGCCCTTTTAGCTACGATAATTTCCCTCATTGGTCTTATTGTCATGCCCCTTATGGATTTTCCGTAATTTTGTGTTGTTCACACTATGTTCAAATTGCCCCACATGTTCAAATTACCCCACCCTACCCTACCTACCTTTTTTATATAGCTATTCCACATTTTACCATATCAATTTGGGCTGACATGATTAAGTTTGAATTGTTTCTTTTCTAATTGTTTATTTTCTGCTTGTCACGTAACACCGCTACTCCGACCGTCCGTTCTTCTCCGTTTTCTCTTCCGACCGTCCAACGCCTTCTAACTATATAAGGCTGAGTCAATTACCGTCTGCAGATCGCCGGCATAATGCAGTATCGCTCCTTCTGGGGCGCTAACGAGACGGGGCGGGGGCGGCGGCGGCGGGGGCGGGGGCGGCGGCGGCCGGGCGGAGCGCCGTGCCGGTCTCCGCAAGGCCACCCATCCGTCTCCGCCGCCCCCGCCCCCGCCCCCGCCCCCGCCCCCGCCCCGGCGGATGGCGCGTCATGACGCCTCCCTGGGCGACCACGGGATCCGCCCCGGCACATCTTATCGAGCGCGTCCTGATAGGAAAAGGTGGCCAACCTTCAGTCCTGAGCTGCCGTATATCGTTAGTTTTCGACGTCAAGAGGGTGGCTCTACACTATCCTAAGCAGCCATTTCTCTCGAACGGAGTTTGAGCGTCAGTTTATTCCAAAGAAAAAGACTGTCATTGAAAAAGAAAACATACCTGCTACTGTACTGGTCCTAGTAGTGGTAGTAGGTAGCAGTAGTAGGTAGTGCTTACTACTTATGTAGTTCTCTTACACAGCGGTATAAGTGACGTGCACCTTTTTGCTTTTGCAAGATGTCTAAAGCATCACTTTCAATCAGTGGCTGGACGGTGGTTTATGCTAGATGCAGCTTTCGAAAGGCAGCTGATCTCCATCTAAGATCTCTTACCAAGATGTATGTCTTCTTCAGAGTCTGATTGCCGAGCATTATCTACTTGTTCTGTTCCAAGTCGTTGCATGCACTGCTCTGCTGCCTCTGCTCCTGACAGTCGTGTGATGACAATTTGCTGGCAATGTTCGAAACTGCTGACACTGTCACAAAGCATTCAAGCAGACATGCTCATAACAGAAACACTGCACTTAAGGAAACTCATAAAAGCCCTAAGGAGCCTCGTGGCGATTCATATGGGTGCAATTAAATCTCAAGCACCAGTGCACAGCGTTTTTGCCGAGGCCGTGCGGGGCGCAGGGGCGGGCTATGGGCTGGGAGCGTCCTTGATGAATGCTGAGCGCTGTGTTGGCTTGCCGCTCATGGCTGCACATGTGGGGATTCTACACTTCATTAGCTCTCCACAACATGGCCGGGGTTTTAGGCTGTCACAAGATAGATGTCCTCTCGCCGGCGCCGCGGATTAGCGCGGGCTTCTGCAATTCGCCACAGCGCACGGCGCGGCTGCCTTAGCCGCAATGCCACGTGCACTCTCCGATCAACAACCAATTCGGCGGACTTGTGATGGAACTGGCGGAGCTCGCGGAGCTGTGCTATGTTGAAAACACGCGAGCCCTATCCGTCTTGGGATTTAGGACTGACATCATAAAGCCGATTCTCAGTAGACCACAAGCGTGCTTCTAATATACAGCACACGATCCATGCAATGCAATAATATATTCCAATAAAACTCAAACGCATGTCCTGCATGAGGCTATGAAGCCATGCACGCATAATAAACCAATTTCTCGGAGACTGCAACGCCCGACCACGGGCGGATCACATGCAGACTACTCGGAGACTGCACCGCTTCCAGGCGGCACAGGAACATAACCCATATCCGGTTGGAGCCGCGGCCGCCAGGCGCCTGACCGACCGGCCTCTCACAGATCGGCCACAATGGCCATTGTTCATGCGTCGTTGTCGGCGGCAGAGACGGCGACGGTGGACGGTGGGCGGTGGATGACGGACGGTGGACGGTGGACGTTGGGTGGTTGATGACGGACGGTGGATGGTGTGGTGGTGGACGGTGGACGTCCCGCGGTGGAAGGTCGACGGTGGACGGGGAATGGTGGACGGTAGTGGGCTGTATCACTGGACGGTGGACGGTGGAACGTGAACGTCGGGCGGTGGGTGGACGGCGGACGGTGGACGGTGGATGACGGACGGTGGACGGTGGACGGTGGACGTTGGGCGGTGGACGGTGGACGGCGGACGATGGACGGTGGACGGACAGTGGACGGTGGACGGACAGTGGACGGTAGACCCTGTCAGTGCAAGTTAGCTAGTGGTGGTGCCGACATGAGCGGCGAGCGAGGAACGATGGGCTGCTGTAAAGACATCGTGGGCGGTGACTTTAGTGGTGGTAGCCGACGGAGAAAGATTAACGGATAAGAGCGGCGACAGTGCAAGGCTAGTGAGCGCCTGTGGCGGAGGGCGGGTCACCAGCGACGGCAGTGGGCGGGGCTCGTCAGTGTGGTGACGTTGGTGGCACAAGGGGCAAGGGCGGCTCGGATCCCCGTTCGTCGTACAGGCGGTGTCTGTCGATATACCACCGACCAGCACGGTCCCAGCACAGTACCGGAGAGGTGTGGTATTAAATAGCCGCAGCTCGGACCCCCGGCCTTGCTGCCCGGTGTCTGTCTGTCGATATACCACCGACCAGCGCCGTGCCGGCGGGGAGGTGCGGCCGTATCGGTCCCCGGCCGTATCGGCGGCCGGCAGAGCTCCAGAGTGGCAGAGGGAGGGGAGGTGGATCCGGGTCACGCACGAGAGGCGAGCGCGGCCCGCCGCGACCGTCACCGCAGTCGTGCCTGTGACGTCATACCGACTGCGGCCGCCGCACTGACTAATTGGCCGGTACTTACCAATGGAACTCTGAGCACAGGCCATTGTTCTGTTATATCATGTGATCTCGATTCGTTAGAAGTGCAAACGTCAGCAAGACTTCCCAGCTGATTCTTTGTACACATTGAATCAACAGTGGCAAGTCAATACCACAGTCAGTCCCTTCAAGCACCTTATCTACACAACTATCTAGCTGGTTCAGCTGGGTTGACGATTGGCGAGTGCAACCCTCATAACGCACTTGACCTTACACCCCGGCGTGAGTTGAACATACCATCCCTTTAAGCCCGAGCACCTCTCCAATAAACCTCTGCACACTCCAGTCCACCGTGTTCGCCGTGTGCAGTGTGTACGTTGTGTGCTGTATGTGTGTTTCTGTCACTCGGTATTCGGCACTGGGGCGCGCCCACTGGGTCCGGCCTACTGCACCCTCGCCGTGTCACCTGCCTGGTATGCGCGCCGGCGCCGGCGGCGGCAGCGGGGACTAGACGTTCCGTCACCGTCCTGAGCTCGCGCCGGTGAATACGCGGCGTCCAACGGACTGGCGCGCCGCGGTCGGGAATACATTAGCAGCCCGGCTGGAGCAGCAGCGACTGCCGCTGAGCCTGCAGTAGGTACGCGCGGCCAAACGCGACTGGGCAGTGTCGAAACGGCCACTTTCACATGAGCCGCCCGACGAGGCGGGCGCGGCCGAATGACAGACCGGGCGTGGTCTGAGTTTATCGTGATAAACGGTAATAGATGCTGAGGAACACCGCCAACGATGTGAACTCTTATATTTTCCTTTCATGTTCAAATGGACCCATTGATACCTATCGGTGACTTTCTTACATTGTTTAATTTCGGCTAATTTTATACCATGACTAAGCCATGAGTTTGCTCTGCGATTGATTCATTCAGAAAGATAGTGCGAGAGAGAGAGAGAGAGAGAGAGAGAGAGAGAGAGAGAGAGAGAGAGAGAGAGAGAAAGAAAGAGAGAGAGAGAGAGAGAGAGAGAGAGAGAGAGAGAGAGAGAGAGAGAGAGAGAGAGAGAGAGAGAGAGAGAGAGAGAGAGAGAGAGAGGTAGCGATGAGAGGAAGAGGTGGAGGGAGCGAAAAATAAAACTCGAGAAGAGTTGATGCGTTATATTTCTCATTTATTGCCATGGGCCAGCACCCATAGGCAGCGGAATGGGGGGCACCGGGGCACCGTGCCCTCCTTTTATTGATTTTGGCATTTTAACATTAGCCCTATGGGCGTTGCATGGAAAGAATGGGACCAAAAGTCGGCAGTGCCCCCCCCCCCCTTAATTGAAGGTGTTCCGCCGCCACTGGCAGCACCGGTGTTATGAAGTGCGTCCCATGTCCCGCCGCTGACTGCAGCCCACCTCAGGTCACTTCTAAGCAGGGCTGCGGAGTCGGAGTCGGAGTCGGAGTCGGAGTCGGTCGGAGTCGACAGTTGTGACCGGAGTCGGAGTCGGAGTCGGAGTCGATTTTAGAAACCCGAGCCGGAGTCGGAGTCGGAGTCACCGAAAATCTGTCGACTCCGCAGCCCTGCTAGGTCTGCGGAGTCGGAGTCGGGAGTTGGAGTCGGTCGGAGTCGACAATTCTGCCCGGAGTCGGAGTCGGAGTCGGAGCTGGTTTTTGAAAGCCGGAGTCGGAGTCGGAGTCGGAGTCGCCGAAAATCCATCGACTCCGCAGCCCTGCTTCTAAGCACCGCAGAGATACCCGTCCCGCCCCCTCGGCTCGGCTCGGCCTTGGGCCTGCTGAGAGGAGGCCGGCCGGCAGCTGGTACACCCCTCTGCCTGACAATAACGACCCGGTGTGTGTCTGTGTGTCTGCAGAGTGAATGGTCGACATCATGAGGCGCGCCGAGCCGTCATCCAGCTCCTACAACCACTGGAAGGAGGATGCCTCAATAGACTCCAGGTGCGTGGCATGCGGGGCCGACTGAGCCGTGGGGTGGAGTGGTTTATTTGGATACCTACCTACTGTTGACTGTGCCATCCTGCTGCAATGGTTACTGATCAGTGATCATTATGTAGATTACGTTAACGTGCTTGGCGATAAGCATTAAAGGCGCTTACTCTTATCACTGTCACCTCGATTACCACGAATATCTTCCTGTCTAGCTCGTTTGCAACCTCTAAACATCTTACGTCGTAATTCCTACTATTACGATGCATCCAGCAAGCCACTTCAGATGTGTGATAAACAGTAATGAGTAAATACTATCCTAGTTAGAGGTAAAGCCGATTTTGCCTGCATATGATCACATCTGCAGATCACATCATTGAGCAGTCTGTTGTCTGTGTTCCTGCATGTTCCCGGCGCGGCTCGCGCCTGTGACCGGCTAGGTCGGGACCGGCACAAGCCGGACCGGCCTGCCGCCGCCGCCGTGCACAGCCTGTTTTCCCACCGTCGTCGGTGGCGCGCGCCGCTCCGGCAGCCACCGGGCCAGTTTTTACCGGCGCCCTGTGCCCGACTTCCGACTCATGTCGCCCGTATTGGCTTTGTTTTACCGATACTCAAACACATACCGGCTTCCGCTCGTTAGTGGAGCCCGATTGACCCATATCCTGGTGACCGGTCAAGGGCCGGTGGCCACGAATGGCATGTGGAACGTCTGTGCATGTATCTAGACTGTATAACCGTCGTGTCTAATCTCTGTCCCTGTTCCGCAGCTCTGTGGGCGGCGGCCGTGTCTGATCTCTGTTTGTATTCCGCAGCTCTGTGGGCGGCTACATGCCCGACATGCACGGCTCTTTCGGCGAGGGCCGCTCCAGCAATGGCGTTCGGAGGACAGGTGAGTGCATAGACTCCGTACCTTACCGTACCTACTTACTCCAGTTACGGGTGGACGTCGCCGCTAAACCCATCAGGATGGTGTATCTTTCGGCACTTTTTGTTGATCTGAATTATCATCAAGACGTTTATTAGTTTTTAGTCATTTGATTATGAAATGCAAGCGTTTTACAGTTAGACGCTTTTTTTCTCAACAAAGTCAATCTCAGAATAGTTGCAGTCATGTCCTGATATCGCTGATTTGATCGCTCTCACCCGCTCGAACATGTCAAATATTAGACACATACCTCGCTCCTCGTTATGAAATATCACGAAGTCGATTTACTCACGCTCATTTCCCGCCAGAATCCGACGGTGACTAACCGTTTTGGTTTTTGTCGCGCTGGACTCAGTGCAGCTGGGAGTTTTTTTTTATTGGTCGCGACCCTGGCATTTGCGAGCTGTGCGAATTGCGTGACGCGGGCGGATGACGTTCGAACGACTAAAATCGGTGCTAAATGCCTGGGTGACGACAATATTCGATCCATCCAGGAAGCACACTAAAAAGCTCGCCAGGCTACATCAAAGAAGAACTCTTGTTTTTGACGAACTCAAGGGCAGACTGGAAAGCAGTAGGCTGCATCCTGCCTTTATTCTCAGACGGAGGATATGCCGTTAAAAAGTTTTAAAGCGAAATTGAAATTAAAATGATACCTATGTGGCAGTAGTGGCGGAACACCCTTAACCCTATTAGTGGCAGGGGGGGGGGGGGTTGTTTTTATCCACCCCTCAGGTTTTTCGGGAATATCTCCGAAACCGCTGAAGCTACGATGCTGAAATTTTCTGACTTTTCCTAAAACTAAATTGGGCACATTCCCTGAAAATTTCAAGTTCATAACTTTACCAGGGGCGGCTCCAGAGCACTGGGAATTGGGGGTCCTATTCGTGAAGCGAGTCATTTGGGCGAAGATCACGATGCTGCACCAGTTTTATGAACAGTGAATGAAAGGTATCATGTGATAACATATACAAAGTTATTGTGCATCCTCTTTTGACACGTTTTTGCTATAATAGGCGGATCCAGGCGTCCAAAAAGGGGGGTTATTTTTTACCTCCCAACATAGGTGCTCTGACACCGCCTATGCATGACCAATACAATTTTAGTCGTTCTCTCATAAGAAAATTGTAACATAACAAGACCATTGCCACCCTTTTTAGAAACAGTACCAACAAAAACCTTATTTACTATACTTTTTGTGTACCCCCAATCTCAATGATCTGTGTCCGCCTATGATTTTTGAAAATGCATATTTTTAGGATCCATGTGAATTCCTGGTTCATTCTCTATCGATCGGCAAAAGTTGCGTTAAGATTGGTTCAGAAACCTGGCCGTGATAAACAGTCTAAAATGTATCTGCAATTTGCCCGTTTTTGCCCCCCTCTACCCCCCCTATTGACATTTTTTAATTTTTTTTTTTTAGAAATGTAGATCTCGTTGAGCCAAATCGAATGCCGTTTGAATTTTGAAAATCGGCCGGTTAGATCTCGAGATATCAAGGGGGGGTCGTAAACAGCCCCCCCCCCCCCTGCCACTAATATGGGGTAGCCAGGAGCCTGCCACTAATAGGGTTAAGGGGTGGCACTGCCGACTTTTGGTTCCATTCTTTCCATGCAACGCCAGTAGGGCTAATGTTAAAATGCCAAAATCAAAGGGGGGCACGGTGCCCCGGTGCCCTCCCCGTTCCGCCGCCTATGCTATGTGGTCATACGCTGTGATGTGATATCGTCTGTATTAATATCGTTCGATTTAATTTGGCGCAGTGTTATGAAGATGGATAAATGGGTTCAAACGTTGTCGAGCATGGCTGGAATTACGTTGCATACTCTTTAATTAATAATGCCTTGATTTATAAAGTTCATGTTGAATGATATTGAGGGTTTCTTTGAAAATTGTGTTGAGCCCCATTATGATTAAAAGATAAGCAAGCATAATAGCCTTTGGCTCATTGTATAATTGACAAAAGAAATGGAAAAGAATATATGTGCGATATTTCGTGTTATATCTCCTCAATGTTACTATTTGAGGAGGGTGCGTCTGTCCGTTACCGAGGTTCCGACTTGGTGGTGCTTTGCATGGACTACAGGCCAAACCGTTGCACCTAGCATGAAAAAGTGCATGAAAAAGTGTCGAACACGAAATATCGCACATATATTCTTTTCCATTTCTTTTGTCAATTATACAATGAGCCAAAGGCTATTACTTGCTTATCTTTTTATTTATAAAGTTATTTCAGTTGTGTTTTGTACCATTTTATTGTTCAGCTTGCAGAAACAGTCACATTCATTATTCAGGCCTGGTGGATGCTGTCCAATACAAACAGTTCATACCTATATTGTACTTATTTTATGAATTTTCATTGAATTTCAAATGAAACTATGAACATTATCGCAAAAAATATCCATAAGAGGTCATATACCCATGAGAAAAATACCTGTAATCGTATAGCTGTACGTCATCAGTACGATTCAGTAAGCTAACCAGCGTCTCTTGTATAATGTATAATACCCCGTCTGACCTGACCTGACCGGTGCAGTGACCTGACCGGTGTAATGGCCTGACCTGATCGTTAGTGTCCTGGCTGCCCCACTTAGTGACCTGACCTGACCCGTACAGTGACCTGACCCGGGTGTATAGTGACATGCCAGGTACAGTGACCTGACCTGACAGGGGTTTACAGTGACCTGCCCGGTACAGTGACCTGACCTGACCGGTACAGTGACCTGACCTGACCTGTACAGTGACCTGACCTGACTGCTGCAGTAACTTGACCTGACCCGTACAGTGACCTGACCTGGGCGGGTCATTATACAGTGACCTGGCCAGTACAGTGATCTGATCTGACCCGTACAGTGACCTGGCTGCCCGACTCAGTGACCTGACCTGACCGGCACAGTGACCTGACCGGTACAGTGACCCAACCGCTCCCCTCTCTCCCCTGCAGAGTCCCCGGACGAGGGCGCCATGTACCTGCTGGAGCACCTGGCCACGTTCACCGTGTCGCCCGAGATGGGTACCCTGGGGCCGCGCGACGGCATGCGCCGGCTACTGCAGATGGAGAAGACGACCGGCATCTGGACGCAGAAAATGGAGCTGCGGCTGCGCAACCAGTCGGTGGTCATCGTCGACCACGAGAACGGGGTGAGAGCAAGGACAGAGCAGGGAGGGCGAGAGAGAGGGAGAGGGGATGGGCAGGAAGGGAGCTCAGAGTCGATATGCATGCACATTGCACATTGCGAATTTCTATTATGTAACGCTGGAACTGGTTCAACAGGTGGGATTATCGAAAGGTCTAAGGAAACCGGGAGAGGGAAGAGAAAGAGCAGTGTATGGGGATGAAGTGAGATGACTGGAAGCGAGTGCGGTCATCCTAGCAACAACTTTTTGACGATTAAAGGTTTGCAGGAGAGCAAACACTGAAAACGCTGAATATGTTTGCTGTGCCTAATGCCCCCTTGAGTCAGCAAAGTGGATCCGAATTTTGGAAGCCGGATAAGGACACATTTAGGCCACAAAAAACTGCATTCCACGTCGCTGCAGTGCAGACGCCGATATTTTGGCCACTCGGAATGTCTGTTTATCGTCGGTGTGGCCTGACCGCCAGATACCTGTGGTCAGTGAGGCGCTAGAAGAACTGTCAGTTTTGTCGTGCGCCGAGCCCGTATCGCGGCACGTCTGTGGCCAATTTCCGGGTGCACGTGGAGCAGGTGTCGGACCGATGGAGTCCATTTTGCCAACATTGACCGGGACACAGTCTGTGTGGAGTTGTGTACCTTGAACGATGCGACTGCGTAGGACTTTTAAAAGGATCGGGCCATATACGAGTACTAACTGCGGCTTGCGCCATTTTTTATTGTTCCCTGCATTCATGCGGTTTGTAAGAGCTGGGAACACTTGGGAAAGTATGGGGATAGCTCGGCAGGTGTTTTGCCCAGGTTATTGGACGTTATTAGCCGTTTTCACGACGGGCTATCCGCCGAATGCACCTGATTTGACCAAATCTGCACCTAATTTCTTTTTTACAGCAAATATCTTCATTTTATGAATTTATTCCAGTGTTTTAATCGATGATGCTCTCTGATAATATGACAAAGCAGGCATATAAGCAATTAGTGCAACCCTAGCTGATAGCTGCTAAGAGACACACTGAACCTGATTTGACCAAATCTGCACCTAATCTGTACCAGATGTGCACCAAATGTGTATATACCAGATGGCCGTCGTGAAAACGGCTATTATCGAGTGGATGTGCGCGTTTTTGTCCGTCAAAGATATGTGATGGTTAGAAGCGAATCTCATATCACCTACCTTAGGTATGTCGAGTCACCTGATTGGCTGGAACTAGCGGTGTCAGCAGGGAGCGGACGGTTGAGGAGCTAGGCGCTGACTGTCCGGTTCCGATTTAGCATACCTATACCTATATTTGCATCTGTGATCAGTAGCGATCTGTACTTGCCATAACTGTTACGGAGTGTAGTCTTAGTTCCTGTTTTCTTGGCTATAAACTATTTATAAGGCACTATGACCTACAGGTATGCTATTTTTCTAGTTATAATCATAACAAGGTTACAACCACGTTGTTTCACCGTGACTATAATCGAAGGGTAAAGGTCGCTAGGCATCTTGTGTTTACCTAGCCTTTGGAATCGACCATATCTGGAAAGCCCTCAAATTTATCTTTCCCGGTTGTTTACCGGCGATATAATTACATGGATGCCATGCCTCCTGTCTGTGCGTTCGATGCTATCACCTCTAATTACCAAATATGGCTATCGGCAGCGCACCCAGGCGTGAGCGAAAATAGACGGACATTGCGGATACTGACGGGAACCGACAGATTATCCTACCCTACTTTTACCTGATTTTGTGCCATGTTTTACATTAGCGATTGCGTTCATTTGAAGAACAAGATCAGCAATTTACGACATAAAATTACAGCTCAGTAGGTACTCGCACACGTATCATGACCTTACAGGTATTCGCGACGATATCGAGGTCGTAAATCTATACAAATGTCGAATCGATCGATATGTGACAGTGCCACAGCTCTTCGTTATAGCGACTTCCATAAGACGTCCTTATTAGAGACAAGAACTATGTAAGTACATGCATGCACTTAGATCCGTTTAGGCGCGCGCCTTACGTATGATCGTTTCGCGGGTACGACGATCCCGTCATTGCACGATGCCCGGGTCCTATCTGTGTCGGGTTCCGACACCGCGCTATCCGTGCTGAGCCCACCGTGTTTCCGTATAACGGCGATTAACGCTGACGCTGAGCAAACACGCGAATACCGCGGTCGGTATCAGCGCGCAGGATTCTGATGGCGCTGAGCACCGCGGAGACGCGTCATAAAAAGCCGCCGCGTCCGTCCTATCTTATCTGCGCGGCCTGCGTAGGTGCCAGACTCGTGACTCGTCCGGTGGATTAGCCAGCGGCCCGTGCAGGGGTGGCAGGGGTGTAGATGAAGACGTCTTACTCCTCACTCCCTGTCCCACTCTCTGTCCCTCTCTTTCCATGGGAACTTTGCCTATCTTATTGTAGAATTTGTTTTTTAAGCCATTACAAAAATGTAATAAATCAGTCAGCTGCCAACTTCTCTGGTGGTCGTATGCGCCCCCAACCGTTTCATATTCCTTCAGTGTTCTCAACATGCCTTATATTCTGCGTCCCCAAAAGAATTTCTCTTTTTCCTCCAATGTAGTCGTACCGACATATGTTACCCTGTCACTGTGACCCGTGTCACCGGAGGAGGTGCGCCCCCCCCCCCCCCCACACACACACACCGCTGGGGGCTGGGGGCGCCCCTGTGCGCTCTGTGATGTCAGGCCGGACCTCAGCGATATCGTGTGTCATTGGCGGCAACACGTGCCGTATCAGACCCGCCGCAGCTCGCGGAGAGAGCGCGTATCGCAGCTGGTGCGTCCAGATACGGCCGCTCCCGCCCTCTGTCCTCCTCTCCGCCGCTCTCTCCGAGCGGGAAAACTGGCGGTTCTGCCCCTGATGCAACCCCGCAGGCTGTGGCTCATGGGAGAGTAATTAAGACCCAACAGGAGTTGAGGTCTGATTACCCTGCAGAGGAACAGACGGAGATCTTGATTACCTTGAAGGGCACCGTCGGCAGCGCTGCCAGCTCCCTCCCCGCGGCCCGGCGGCCACAACCTTCCCCTCTAATCTTGCCCAGACTGCCGCAAGATTTGATCAGCTGGTGTAGAATGGCGCCGCTGCCTGCTAACGGAAGAAAAAGCCGGCCTCAGCAGATGTCTATTACATTGTTTTTATCTAGGTTTTATTTTCTTATACTCTGTGTCTACCGACAGGACCTGGTGGAGCGGTTTCCCATGCACCTGATCCGTGAGCCGACCGCTTTCACCTCCAACGACCCGAAGGAGCTGTACAACAACATCTTCATCTTCATCATCACCGAGGACCCGAGTCGCCACTCGATGAATCCGCCCGAGATGCACATCTTCCAGGTACGGCACTGACAGATACCTATATCTAACTTAACGTTCTGAAATGTTGTCACATCGACGCATTGTATTGTTGAACTACTGCCTAAATTCGTGGACCTGTATCTCTGTGAAAGACCGCTCTCGTCCTTCTCGAACGTCTGCGGGCGTCTTTACTCTGCCCCGCTGCTAACGTCTACGGATGGTACTGACACTCTGACTATCTGTATGTCCTTCTGCAGTGTCTGCGGGTGTCTGCGCAGCAGCTGGTCGAGGAGATGAAGGCCTACCTCTCTGGGAAGCAGGTGCGCCCGCAGCGACTGCCGCCGCCGCCCAGCAGTCCGCCGCCCGAGCCGCCCAACGGGCTGTCGGGCCGGGACCAGCTGGCCATGTTCAACGCCCAGTCTCGCCGTGAGTACACCCGCCCAGCGGCAGAGCACTCAGCATAGGACACTGTAGACACGACGGGGTGATGGTCTGGAAGCTGCTAGGGTCACTGGGGCACTGCTAACGAACAGGGTATATATTTCCAGCGAGCAGATGAGCTGATAACGGACATTGAGTCTGTCAGCGGTAACGGAGCACACACTCAAACATATATATGCAAATTAAACGTTTTGTTGCAACCAGATGATAACCAAAGACCCATTGAGCACTCATGCCTAAGAACGAATTACAGATTCGTTGGCGACGAGGTCGTCATGTCTACAGGAGCGAAGGGTCGGTAGCAATCACACACAGATGGCGCTGTGAGGGCCACGGAGTACCTCAGACTGGTGTTTGATTCATCTGTGATTGAATCGATTGGATTGAATCAAACAAAATTTGTTGAATCAAAAAGGTTTGATTCACCGTCAGGATCGTTTGATTCACAAGCCATGATTGAATCAAACGCATTGGGAGTCAGGGTTGATTGAATAAAAAAAAATAATGATTCATGAACTTTAAAAAAATTGAAGTGAACGAACATAGTTCATGATCAACAAATATTAACACTTCTGCCATTACATGACAACAAAAAGAACAAAACAAATACAATACTATCCCTGATATTTTGTATATTTTATTTTTTAATTGAATCAAAAAAGAATCATTCAAAAAAATTTTGGCTGAATCAAACGTGAATCATTCCTTTTATCAATTTTTGATTCTCTGAATCAAAAGGAATCGATTCACCAAATTTTTTGAAGGAATCAAACGGTGATTGAATCAAACAAAAATCAAATGAATCAATGATTGAATCGATCCAAAAAAGGTGAATCAAAAACCAGTCTGGCTCAGTACCTACGCTCAGAGGGCGCTGAAAAAGGTCAGATAGCGCTCGTTGGCAGCCAGCGCTGAGCGCTCCGTGCGGTCAGGAGCGCCCTCGGTGGCAGCTGGCAGTGAGCGCCTCTGGTGCAGTCGGGACTAGCGCCCTCGGTGGAGGTGGGCAGTGAGCGCTCCGTGCGGTCAGGGGACGCCCTCGGTGGTAGGTGGCGCTGGGGTGGCATCGGCCGCCCGTCAGTACATGCAGATGTGGGAGATTCGCCGAGACGCGTAGGGACGACTAATAGAAATGAGCTAAAGCAAGTCATGGGCCGAGTAGGTACTTTGATTAATTCACTTGTATCATGACGAAACTGTTTTTAGAATGACAGATTATTTAATGCAGACGACTGAATTCGTTGACGTACCTACTCTGAAAAATTATTTTTTAAAAAACTCTGATTGTGGCGTTTCTCGATTTATAGCTATATTAGGACGATATATTAGAACTAAAAACATCTACAATCTGGGTGTTTGAATTTAAAGCATCGTGTGGGTAATTTGGTCCTTATGAGGGACGGAAAAGTTGTTTAAGTCTATCATTAACTCATCTGTTGCGCCATCCGTGCTTAATCGTAATAGGGTGGAGTAGGGGAGAGATGTCATATTGCGCCACCTTAAGGACATCGGCCTATTGCGGCTAAAGTTGACCAGCTGTCATGTTTGATGATATCTCAAATTGTAACTCAGTTATTTTGGCATCAAATAACAACTCCCAATTTGTATCACACCCAGAAAAATTAACAAGAGAAAAGTTTTCCGACACAATTGCAAAGGGCGCATTTACGGACTCCCCCATCAAAAAGCGCCTATGCCTTTCATGTAAACCCGCGCCCCACTGGGGGGGGGGCTATTTATAGCCCCCCTCCCGTTTTTCTGCAATAACTTCCAAACCGCTTGACGGATCGACGCCAAACTTTCCGTACCTTCGGCTGCATCAATTTGACACCTTGCGTCAAAATTTGAACTTCGTAGCTACCATAGGTCGGCCGGAAATGACGTCAGAATGACGTCATGTTCGTCCGATTTCGACGCAAAACATTGAACCACGGCAATCGCTCCCAAGAGCTCAGTTTCTAAGCTAGATCTAATTTCTTTGCATGAAAGGACTCAGAATTGACCGCGCTATCAAACTGCTATCTCGGATTTTCAAAATTTTGAAAATTTCGAAAATTTTATATAATAATATTTAAAATTTATATTTTTATATTTTTTTCAAAAAGTTTTTGACTTTTCGAAAAAAACGGAACATATGTGACAGAACGCATGATTATGACTAACTCTAGCAAGTTTTAGCTAAATATCTTCAAAAATGGCCAAGTTATACGCATTATTGCAAAAAATTCACAATAACTAATTTTTCAAATCAATTTTTCAGTACGTATTTGACATCGTACACCAATATAAATGGCACCATCGTGTTTCTGAGCTCAAACTGCATCCAATAGACACCTTTTTTGTTGAAAAATTTAACTTCAAAATTTGACCTTTTTTGACCTGAAAGTGACCTGACCTAAGCTAAATTCGACTCAAAATGACCTCGAATGACACAGACGACATCAAATTCGAAATCTATGGCCTAAATGGACCATAAAATATGTGTCACGTGACCGACGCATGATATAATATTTCCGTGACCTGTGATGACCTGACCCTGACCTGAAAATCAAAGTACAAGTTTGGTACCCTCAAGGTATCTAGGGCATCTGTTCACGAGTGTGGAAACCAAAAATGAGCCTGATCTGACTTGTAAGACGGCGGCCAGAGCCCAAAATGTGAACAAGCCAAAATGCTAATAATTTTTACTTTGACCTGACCTGTGACGTCATCGGTGACCTCGAGGTTAATGAAATTAGGTTTTGCCCGACAGTTTTTCCGGGGCTATCAGACGCCGTTTGAATTTTGACGATCGGCTCAGTAGTTTCGGAGTTAGGAGGGGGGGCTATGAATAGCCCCCCCCCCCCCCCCCCCCAGTAGGGCGTGTTATACACAGACCCCAGTGGGGCGCGGGTAAAATCGCCCTATTAACCCGCGCCTTGATGGGGGCCATTTTGGCCCCCCCCCCCTGTGGTTTTTCTTAAATAGCGAGAAAACGGCGGCGCGCAGCGCCGCCAAATTTTGGGTACCTTACCGGGCATCAATTTGACACCTTCACGCAAAATTTCAAGTCACAGGTCACCTCAGGTCAGGAGTTATTGAGGTCAAACTGAGGTCATGTTGGAGTAAAAATGAGCAAAAAACATGACATCTTGAAACGCTCACCAATTCTACAGTTATCAAGCAATTTTAAAGTTCTTTTTGTGGTTGTGTAGAGAAAAGACGGCGCTACAAAACTGCTATCTCGGATTTTCAAAATTTTGGGATTTTGACCCCCAAAAATCAAAAAAGTTGATTTTTTTAGAAAAACTCTAAAAATTTCCATTTTTTTCGAATTTCGAAAAAAACGGAATATATGTGATAGTCCCTGCGCTCTTCGATATACATACCAAATTTTAGATCGATACCTCTTTTTTTTGGCCAAGTTATAGCGAAAAAACTGTTAAAAATTGATGACGTCAATTTTTTTTTACTCAATTTTTAGCAATTCTAGACCTCGTAGCGCAAAACGGAGACCACCATTGAAATCCCCGTGACGAGCTGCATCGAATCGATACCCATTTTATGCATAAATATCAACTTTGAAATTTGACCTAATTTGACCTGACCTTGACCTGACCTTGACCTGACCTTGACCAAAAAGTGACCTAAGCTGGCCCAAAAGTCTGCCTGACCCACATAGTCACATTTGTCATGTAAAATGGACCATAAAACATGTATCACACGACACTTTCATATTGTGACCCCCCAGTGACCTGACCTCTGTGACCTGACCTGGTATCAGTGACTCAAATAGCAAAATATGTGTTTGAGGAACATTTCCCCCATCGATGATTTTCAATGAAATGCATTTTACTCGATTTTACAACGCATTTCTTGAAATGCCTGTCAACGGTGAAAATTCGACCTTTGACCTGACCTGTGACGTCATCGGTTTGACCGAGGTCAATGAAATTGGGTCACAAGGTAGTTCCCCGTTGGGTCTATCCAACGCCGTTTACCGCTTGTCGCTATGTTGCGTGGTTCTCGAGATCTTAGGGGGGGGGGGCAAAAGTGGCCCCCCCCCCCATCAGACCGCGCTGCTCGGCAGACCCCATCAGGGCGCGGGTTAAAAACAACGGTTTGCCACTTAACTAAGTAGCCTATTTGAACGTGTCAGCCCATTAACCATTTATGCTGTGAAGGCTAAGGTAATGGTAAGGTGAGCGCTCTAATAATCAAAGTGTTCAATGAAATGTGTCCCAACCACCAGATGCTGTTTCTCTGGGTTGAAGAATAGGGCGCAAATAGGGTGGGCGCAATTACGAATGGAGCACATTTTTCATGAGCTTCAAATATGGCGACGACAGCGAAGCCACGGTGGTGATAAACTTTCAAAACTACCATTAAACGAGCAATTAACAATGATTATTAGTTGAATCACTATCTCTAAGATAAACCATGACACTAGCAAAGGTCGAAATAGACTGTTTCGCGTAAGAAAATAGAGGAAATCACAAAAAATAGTCTGCGAGAAAGCTGAGACACCTCACCTGCCCCCGTGGACCGGAATAAGAGCGAGTTATTGGTGGTGAAGTAAATGCACACATTCGAGTACTCGTTCGAATCGAATTTTGGGTAGGAGGAAGGTGTGGCGCATTTAAGAACATGGCGCAATATGACCTCTCTCCCCTACTTCTCAGACCTCAGTATCACAGCTTATTGGTTTCTCACTTCTCATCTTGTGTAGGTAAATATGTATCATGGCACTTGACCGAGAGTGCCTTTGATTATAATCACTGTCAGAAAGTGTGCACAATTATTGTCTAAACACTTTATTATGAGTTCAGTAAAAATATTAGGCAACGATTGGTTTAGCTTCTAGCATCTTCATTTCGGCCTATCAAATTTTTAAGCCCTAGGTTTAGCAAAACGAATCAACATACTACTTTAACGAAGCGAACTTTGCACCATTCAAGATGATTTTATCGGTATCTTGTTTGCTTTCGCCTTGCATGTCTGACGCCTACTTGAAGCTTGGTTGGCCTTCAGGACTCGGTCGCCCGTCCTTCCGGTGCAATCAGCACCTATCTTTGCCAAACAGCCCCGTCCATCCCCCATAAGGCTCGAAGGCATGTGCAGCACGATTGGCGATCCTGCGTCGACTGAGCTTCAGCTTCCGGAACTGGCCCCACCCAGAACCACCAACACCCTCCGAACCTGTCCCCAGTGACGGCTAGTGATGAAGCATGACCGTGTGGATATCATAAATCAAAGGTAGGTACTGCGGCCTCGCGTGCTATCGCAGTAAGAAAGCGAACCGCCACGCTCGAGCAGTTATCGTGCCCCTTCTGGCCGGTGTCGGGTCAGCGCCGCCTGCACGAGCCGCTGCACCTCCGATACTGAGCTATCCATGGACGCGGTTTGTCGTGAGCTCACTTTCGCAAAGACGACCAGCTGCAGTGATCACTCCGGTCCATTGCATAGGCACGCTCGATTTGCGTTGTGAAAGTCTTGTCTATCTGCAAGAAGTGAAATTTGGGCAGCCACTCGGCATTGAAAGTAGGTATCCACACTCGTCCGGGGGACGTGTGTATGCACGTTTTCTTCACATCTTTGCATTTTTACTCGACATTGAAAAAAAAAAATATGCCGAGTAGGTACCTACATAACATTGCTCATTACACACACAAATAAGTATTGTGTGAGTACATTGTAAAGCGCTACCATAAATATGTATTATTGTGCGTCGAATGAAAAGGTGCGGAACCAGTAAATTGGGTTAAACCCGCGCCTGGTGGGGGGAGCTATTTTTGCCCCCCTCCTCCGCCACTCCAGACTTTTCAATGTATCTCCAGAACCGCTGCGCCGATCGTCACCAAACTTTTATTACGTTCTTATAACTTATATGAGTTCATTTATGACCATTTTTTCCAAAGGCTATGATAGGTTGATCGCAAATGACGTCAGAGTGACTTCATGTTCTGCCGTTTTCGACCAAAAAAAAAAGTTTCGCAGGAAGAGCTGTCAGGCCTATAGCTTTGAAGATACAGAAAAGCAATTAGAACATTAAAGGTGTAGAATTGCTAGGGCTACCTAGCTGCCATCTCAAAATTTCGAAATTTTGGAAGGATGACCCCCAAAAATAAAAAATGAATAAAATAGCCAATAATAAAAAATCTTTGATTTTCGAAAAAAACGAAATACATGTGATAGCCCCTAACGTAACGACCTCTATCCACATGCCAAATTTTAGATCGATAGCTCTTTTTTGGCCAAGTTATAGCGAAAAAACTGTTCAAAATAGATGACGTCAAATTTTCAAACTCAATTTTTTGCAATGCTAGGCCATGCAGCGCACAACAAAGGCCACCATTAGACTCGCCGTGACGAGCTGCATCGAATCAATTTCAATACCTTTTTTTTTGCAAGATATCAACTTTGAAATTGGACCTTTTTGACCTGACATTGACCTGATCTCCACCAGGAAGTGACCTAAACCGTTCCTGATGATCTTATAACCAACACCATTGAGTTTGAAATGAAAAAAAAATTGGCTACAAAACATGCATCGCGCAGCTCTAGTAAAATTGGGTTCATGTGCTGGGGTTCAAATTGGGTTCAATTGGGTTCATGTGTGAATAATTCACTCTGAGATTCCTTGGTGACCTGACCTGTGACCTGACCTAGTATTATCAGTGACCTCTGATACCAGCATATGTACATACTAGGCAACTGACGCTCTATCGCTGACTTCCGATAAAATGCGTTTTACTCGATATTATAATAGCTCATTCCCTAGAACACCCGTGGACGGCAAAAATGTTATATTTGACCTGTCATGTGACGTCATCGGTGACTCCGAGGTCAATGAAATTTGATTTTTCTCGACTCAACAAATTTGACAGGGCTTTCGAACAACGTTTCAATTTTGCGGATCCGTCCACTAGTTTCGGAGCTACGGGGGGGGGGGGCAAAAAATAGCCCCCCACACACACACCAGGTCGCGTTATAAACAGACCCCACCAGGGCGCGGGTTAATGCTCTTAGCAATTGATATCCTTATGCTATTTTTGCTCATGATTAAAATCAAACGCCTATCTCATCCAAAAGGGGCAACTAAATCTCGATCGACAGAACAATCCTGAACTTGCTGAGAATGCTATCGAGCCCAGGAATACCACAGAATCCGTGGTAAAAATAGCTAGCGGATAAAGAAGTGGGTGCATAATATGAGCGACAGCGAAGTGCCGTCTCCGACACATCGCGATAAGTTAAATAGAAGATCCATTAAGTAAAAAAAAAAAACAGTTTAACTGAGGGATGGTATCAAATGTATTAAACGTATATTTTATGCAAATAAGCTGCAAGTACAGCCTCGAAGCTACACACAAACAAGTGCATTGTAAAATGTGATAGAGCGTACTAAACATCCCCGAACGAGACGATGCTGCACGGTTCAGAATCTCACAACCAACAGCGTGAATCTCGGGTGTCTCAGAGCCAGGCCGTTCGTCTCGGTCGTTGTGCCAATTGAAGGGCGGCAGGTCAGTCGTGAGCTGCTCTGTGAATAATTCACTCGAGGCTGGCACTCTGCCACCGAGTCGCGTCTCTGGAATCTGGGGAGCACATTACACATAATGTCAGCAGTTGCGTCAGGTGTGCCGATCGTGCGCTATTCTGAGATTCCTTGGACCTGCGAAAATGCATTCGTCCAATATGATTGTCGCACGTATCTTCATCAGTTCCACTAAAGATGCGTACGCTTGTTACACGCTGGGAACGGTGCGGCACTATTGTTCCAGATAAGACTCCCAAGCGGCGATTTTCGTTGACCTCCCTCTCGTCTGTTCCGCGCCGGTCTGCGCCACAGCGGCGGTCTGTTCTCTCTATTAAAACACCCTTCAATTAGCAGGACAGGCTCGTCTCTATTTTCCCATCCTTTCACCGCGAGTTGACCTTGCACGGGCGGGGTCAGGCGACCGCGCGACCCCGGGTCAGGGGCAGTGTTACGGCGCGGGCTCCATCACGGCACGGTCTGCCGCCCCGGTCCGCGCCTCTCCCGCTGCGCCAGTGGCCCACATTGCTGACACAGCTCGATTGTACAGCACACAGAGAAGCGAGTCAACAATGCACGCCATGTCCGCGCCGAGCTGACCTTGACCTCCGGCGCATCACGCACCCGGGGCACGGAACAGAAGCGGCTCTAACGACTCGCCAACAGCGGGGCGTATCTCTTTCTCTCTCCGGCCCGCGCGCCGATTGTTCGTCTGCCGCTCTGCGGCGCTGGCGGCGCGGCGCGGCGTGGAGTGACGCGCCGTAACGAGCGGCGGTGCGCCGTTTTTGCGCACCTGTTGGTCTCGCCAGGTGTTGAGCTGGCAGCTGGCGTCACTGCACTTCGCTCTGACGCTGCCTCACACCGCTGCGGGCCGGGTGTCAGGCCCGTATTGACTCCGTTTGAGGCCGGCGGGCCGTGAAACTGGCGGCGACACCAGCTACCGATGGGGTGACATCAGTCATCAGCAGGAAGGTCACCGTCCAATGACGGCTGCAGCAAGATGAAAAGCAAATAACGCTGGCCTGATGTCACTCACACAGAAATGGAATTTGTTACGTTTTCTGCGGATTTTGCAATTGAAGTTTGCAGCATCTTTTGACGACAAAAAGAGTTTTTACATATGTGCGTTTTAAACGACTAGTGCTTCCAAACGCATACGAACTGAGCACTGCTGATTACCTAACGTCATTAGCACAACTTACAGACAAACAGCGTCACGTCAATATCGAAATAGCGCCTTGATACTGAACGGAACTGCAGCCTGCCACCGTTGCCCTGCCGCTGAACAGTTGACCTGGGCGTTCGGACGCCGGGTGCTGCTCCGTTCCTATGCAAATAAGCGCCTTGCCGGCCGCCGCGCCTGTGTCGGTCGGACGGAGACCGGTGGCGATCGCCATTCACCATCCGTCTCGGACCAGCGCCGACTGTGGTGGCGGCGGTGCCGCTGCTTCCGGGCTGAAGAGGGCGTGACGTCACACGGTGTCGGTGATACTGCCAATCACACCGGTCGAGATGGATCAGGTGGGACTAGCACTGTCACCGCCACCACCGCTCGCCGCCCGCCGCCGCTGGGCTGGTGAAGAGGACCGGCGGGCACCGGGCGGCGGGCGGCGGCAGTCGTGTCCCGGTGTTGGCGGCGGGCGGTGTGGAGCGTCGGACAGTCTCGGCTGCCTCGTGTGGTGTTCAGAGGGAACTGCGCCCGGTGGGGGTAACGGGGGCTGCCCTCCGGCGGCACCACTATGTCCGTGTTGACCGTGTTGGCACAGCGATACCCACGGCAGGGCTACTGGACCCACGACCCGTACTACGATGGTGAGTCCGTTGTAGTTCAGTAGGAGGAAATAAGTCAGAAGTTTAATAGCAGCATTGTATTAAAGCAGGTATAACTGTCCTGTATTTTCCTCTTAACACGTCTTTAAGAATGCACTAGTCTTGGAGGGATGTGTGGTACCGAATATGTGGCTGCTCGTGCCTTGCCCGGTCGTATATTTACGATTCAGTAACGGGGATTTCTGGTTTACGGCGGCGGCGGTCAGAAGCTGCGGTCCGGGACCAATTTAGTCTCTGACTCGGCGCTACCTGCCTCGCCTTCTGACGGAGATGGACAGCTATATAGGGGAAGTTGGGAGAACGCCGAATACTTTTTTCTGACGCCCGTAGCACGCAAGGTAGACAACAGAAGCTATTCTTGTTGGCGTCATTCGAGAGGCCAGTCTTTTGCCTTTCAAACACACCAGGCGCATTTGATGAATTCGCATACCGTTAAGCGCCCAAACTAAAAATATCAAAGAAGTGACTTTTTCGGCGTTGCCCCGGACTGCGGGGAAAGCCGAAAATGGGAGAAATGATCTACGGGGAATGTCGAAATTGATGTTTTGCCATTTTATCTCAAACTTTATCCAGAATTCATCAGAGCTGACACACGTTTTAAGAGCTTAAGGACGCTTGGTGCACACTGGAAGTTATAATTGTATGATATAATAAGAAAAGGCCAGGTAAATCATTCCTTATAGGTAACAGGCCGTTGTGTCGGTTGAAAGTGTGATTTGTGTGACTAAAAATACGCGTTGCTATTCTACAGCAGTAAAGTCCACGTAGCGTGCTTTAACGTGCGTAATTGCACGTTTTCGGCATTACCCTAGCCAGCCATACTTTCATTTGCAGGCCCATAACTTTTCAACGTGCTGTATAAATTTCAAATAGGCAGCACACTTATGCAAAGACATGCTGAAGATTACTTGACCGAATTGGCCAGACAAACGGTAGCATAATGAGTAAGAAATGCAGCTTCAAAGGCGCATGTAGTACAAGGGAAACGTACCTTGAAAACGCTCTTGGCGCCCTCACAGCCGAAGTATTCCGAATGACGACTCGTAACAAACATGCGATAATTGGTAGTCACTTAAGCTTCAGAGCCTCACTGACAGGTGGCATTTATGTCGTACGGTTTTCGAAATACCTCGAATTTCGGCTTTGCCCCAACTCCGGCATTGCCCCAACTTCCCCTACTCTTTAGTGCCCTGGGTCACCACTACCTCTCGCCCAAAGTCGGCCTTTATAGATGCTCACCTGCGAGGAAGCTAGTACCATTAACACCTTTGGTGGATAGCGAGGGAATACTGCCGCTGAGAACTGAGTAAATGGACTCGGCTCTGAAGCGGCTACGTCAAATTTAACGAAAACAAGCATGATATGTTTCATTCCCTATTCATGAAAAGCATGTTTTCATATATTTAGTCTTGAAAATTAGGCATACTTTTTATAACGTTTTATGTTAGCCACATACATTTATGGTATATGGGCTATGGCACACATATCCTCTCTATCGGCCGTGATTCATGCCTTGATACACGTACAATACGAATGGTTCACTGACGGAGTAGCTCTTATCAGTCATTTCATCCTATCAAGATTTGGGCGATATTTTTAGCAGGCCAATAGAACGTCCCCTGTTTTGCTCACTTTGAGATAGCGCTTTCATGGTGAATCGCATGCACTGATAGTTAGATGTCATCGTAAAAAGCTCTGCGCAGATGACTCCGCGAGGCGGCAGGAGGTTCACCAGAGTGGGCACTTCAAGGCACCCCTTCATTAATCCGTTTGTAGATCGACGAGGTGCAATCTAAATACGCCATTCGGCTCATCAAACCCGCCGAATAGTGACGAAACAGAGACAGGCTTGAGTAGACTTATTGACGATCTTCTTCCTTCACCATCGCGGGGCAGCTGACAGTAAGAAAAAAAACACTCTTACTGAACTAAAAACATAGTGATTGTGGAAATGCATCCATGGTGGAACTGGAAAGTTTCACCTGAATAAACATCCAGGATTTCAATAATTGCGTGAAACGCAGCCGAGCTATAGCCTCCTTTCGACCCGCTTCTCCTGCCCTGCCGCCGCTGTTGACCGGTTGGCTGCGGCGGCTGAATTCGTGCCGTCATCGCGCTGGGTCGACAAACGTCACGGCCTTTGAGCGGCGCCGACCGCCCTCCCCGCCCCTCCCCGCCCCCTCCCCGGTCACCGGTACCGGTGCCGGCGCCGATAGCAAACACATCCTCAGAGCAGCGCGGGCGATACCAGCCTCTGAGGAGAGCTCTATCGCCGGGCTGAGGAGCTCGGACCCGGGGATTATGGAACAGGATGAACAGATGTCACAGCTGATAACAGACGGATCCGACTCTGGGCGACAGAATGGCAGAGGAACGCATTCCCAGCGCTCCACTGTCATCCCGTCTCGGTAGTGTCATTCTATGGTGGAGCTACCGGAAACTGGCCTGGCTGAATGGCAGCTCAGGAGAAGGCGCATGTTATGGCATCCGTAAATGCATTTCAGCTCTGTCATTCCTTTAACCCTTGCCTTTGACTAATAGCATGCTAAATATTTCGCTGATCGTCCGTGCCCAGTTGTCAATGAAATCCAGTCACCTGGATGTAATTTGGATCGTAGCATACTTTTTTGGTGCTTGCTTTCTCGAACTAGTCTCGGGCGTTCCAGGGGCGGGAGTGACACTCTCACCCCCAAACCTCCTCAATCCTTTTACCGTCCAATCCTTATGCCTAAATCTTTTCTCAGTATCGCTCAACCCAGTCATTCCTCTCAAGGCAGCCTCAGACTAGTCCCGTGCAGCTGTGAACGCTCGCCTGTCTCCACCACAAAGTGGAGACAGAATGGCCCATTTGAACCATTGCACTATGGTTGGAAACGGCCTCACGGATGGCCGGGGGTCAACGCGAAAAAATGTTTTGCCCATAACTTGTTAATGCGTAGACCGACTGCGATGAAACTTTGCATAGGTATACCAGTGTCTTTCGTGCATCATACAGTAACTCAGAAATGACGAGGTCACGTCACGTCACGCGTGTGTGACGTCATCATTGCAAGTATGTTATAAGTCGCCTATGTCTTTCGTTATGTTATCGATATCGCGAGGCATTTTGAACATGTTTTGAATACTGCTATTACTGAATGGATATTGTTGTTATGCTTTAGGGCGAGAAATATCAACGTAGTGACGCACAGTGTCTTACTATTGGTCATAAAGGGTCAAAAATTTGGAGAA